AAAATTTATTGATTTATTACTGGTTTATTATTGATGTATATAATTTTATAATGTTCCTATTATTTTATCATTGATCCAATAATTAAGAATGAGTAGATACAAAAACTTTATGATGTAAAAATTTGAAATGAAGAATAACAATATATATATTTGTGGTTGAAGATGAATAAAAAATGTGAAAGAAGATAACCCTAACTCCATCTTCTTCTTCTTTCATTTTCTTTATCCTACCCGCAAAGTCATGGCCACATGGCTCCATGTCAGCATCCAACTTCATTGGTTTGATTTTATCTGAGTATCCATCCATTTTAATGGTGGCGACGCAACAAGCTGACACTATTTACCTTTATTCCAAGTTTCAATTCTGACCAAAGACTATGCAAAAATACAAGCAGTCAATCTTAGACAACTTACTTTATTCATTATTCTTGGAAAAATCTAACGTTCAATCATCTATTTTAAAGAACAGGTTCTCCGAATAATTTTAACCCTATCAACAAGTGCGATGGCATTCCTGTTAGACATAAAGTGTAATGTTGACTTATTTCCATAGAAAAATATTTCCAGTTTCCACCTTGAATATACATTTTATTTGATTTCTCACTAATGAAAAGATCGATCACGAAATATTATTATATATTAAGCAATAGCTAGAATAATAAACTTTGATATTTCATTAAAATTTGTTGTGAATTAATTGTAGATTGTAAATCCGTTACAACTTACAAGTATTGTATATCATTAAAGTACAGTTTTTGGTTTTTGAAAATAATAAAAATTGGCTCATAAATTAGTCTCACAAAATCTTTTTCACAACTCCGATGTGACAGTTCACAATTACTCAATTCGTAATTAATCAAGCGAAACAATTTATTAGAAAATTAATTATAAACTGTCAAGTCAAGATTGCAGATTGAATTATAAGTGTAAAATTGTCTAATTATGTGTTCACTATAAAAAGGCCAAACAGTTATGATTTATTAATTATTAAAAAAAAACTCTTAAAAGTCGTTTTTATTCTAACATCAATTTTTAAGTATTACATCAAGTATATTCTCTCTTAATTATATTTTAGTTTTAAAAAATTATATACAAATCACAAATCAAACCATTCTAATACCCTGAAGAAAAACCGTTTCAGAATGATAATTTGTGAAAGAAAAAAGAGATAAACAAGTGTGAAATAGAATTAAAAAAAGAGAGGCTAATTCTTCATTCAATAATGATTGAGTTGCCGATTAAACTACCGATTTGACATACTGATTAAGTTAAATTTTGAGATTTGGGTAATTGAACAGGTGAGTCGGTATGTAAAAATCGATAACTTGATCGATAAGTGTAGTATTAGTGTTCTTCATTTGTTGATGTAAAGTAAAACATTGCTTTACAAAAACTAATGGGTGGTTGGGTTGGGACCACACTAGTGAATAAGAAACACGAGGGGGGAGAATAAGAATCTAAATCTGAAATTTCATTCCTTTTTTTTTTTTTTTTTTTTTTTTTTTTTTTTTTTTGTGACCCACTTGTTGGTTATGGGAAGCTTCAAGGCAAAAACTTAAAAGTTACACATATGATCCATTCACATGAGACCTCCTCGAAACCAATAAAATAAAATTTAACTTTATCCAAAAATGGGCGGTAAGAAAAATGAATTAGTGGGTAACAACTTTTTAAGAGAAAGAAACGAGGGGAGGGAGGGATTATGTGGTAGAGGCTAAATGCTGATGCCTTTTTTCAGCAGGAGTGATTCTGATGGCGATAACGATGGGCGAACAAATAAGATTTTTATGAGATAAGTTGGTAAGGTATGGTGAAGATTTGTCCTCTTTAAGGGGAGGTGGGTTCTGTTTCTTGGAGAAATAAATTCAAACGGGAAGGTAGTAGAACTGGGGGAGTTCCAAACTTGGGGGAATTAAAAGGTGGATTCAATTGCAATCCACATTCTTCGTTTTTGCATTTCTTTAGCCTTGACCCATCCTACTTACAAATTTCCACGGACTTGACCCGGTTGATAGATGTTTCAACATTGTTTTATAGCGTTTAATTTTGGGTGATGTATTTATCAACTAACTAGTTTAATTGCTAAATAATTTGTGTACGTGTACAACAACATTTGTGGGTATGGAGGGTTGCTTTGTATTTGTATGTTGAAAATAAATATTTTGATTGGAGTGTTCAAATCAATTAGTACATACCTCAATTAATCCCTGAAGATTTTAAAATTATCAGCCGAATAAGAGTTCTAACAGTCACCCTTATTAGAGGTTGCGAGTACTCGAACTCAGAAGACCATGTAAATTTAGATTCTCATTTGCTTTTTTATCATCAGACCACCTAGTGGTGATTAACTGTCTAATCATCAATTCTCAAGAAAACCATACAATCCATATATAAAGTATTACATTATAAGTTTATAGTATTATTAAATAACAAAAAATTTAAAATTTAAAATGTTAAAATAAATGGTAAGAAGATAATTTAGTAAATATTTATTAACTTATAATAGTGTAAACTTTGACGGCTCATCGATGGTTGTTGTGTATGATTTTTCTATCAATCTCAGAGGATTATGATGTTATAGCTCGATCCAGAATCAGTTCTACTCAATCAATTATTCGACTCAGCATAAGCTCGTTGAGTTGTAGCTTGACCTAGCACAAGCTCATCGCGACCAATCCTTACAGTTGTTCAACCAGCGCACAGATAACATTAGATCCCGAATATTTTAGAAGGGATCAGATCGATAACAATCTTGGTGCAAGTTTTGCACTCAATAGTGAGAATATCAAAGTTGCATTTCAATATTAATTGTAATCTCTTTATTTTTGCTTAAACCCACTCCAACGATGAGAAAGGGGTTAACAAATTGTCATAGGATTATATTGTAAACTCTCACAATAAATACAAAAAACAGTGGACGTAGGCTCAAGAGTATAACTCGCTGAACCACTTTATAAACTCATTGTGTCATTTATTTTATTGCTTATAACTCATTACATTGCTAATTACTCGTAATCACACACACATCAGTTCTGATTCCGTCAAAATCAATCAGATCACTCTAGTTTGTGCAAATCTTGTATCAACGATGGTTTACATAACACTTCAAACCGTTCATGTTTTTTTTAACTCTAAATATATTTATATACAAATAAGATGATGTTAAGTAAGTTTTGTGATTTTTATTCTTTTTTTTTTATATAAATTAAATTAAATTTATTTATTCAACTCTTGTCCACTCGCTTTCAACAGAGACAATTACAGAAAAGTCAGTAGCTGAAGCCCACAGATTTCATAAAATAAGGTAAAACTTTAGTAAACGTTTCAAACAAGTATTGGAGACCTTGTGGTAAAATTTTGGCAGCAGAAGCAACATTAAAGAAAGGATAAACAAATTAAACTCCAAGATAATCTATTAATGGATTGGGATCTTTTAATATCTATTTTTAATTTAAATTTTCATTCACCTTATTCATTTGCAACAAAATATTTCTTTGTGAAAAATAATTTTTTATTCTAAATTTTTTGTTTCAACCATTGGATTAAGGTGAATAAACATATAAAACTTTTAAGTTAAAAAATTTAAATAAAAAGTTAAAAACTATGCAAAAATTATTGACACTTTCACCTAAGTTCATGTAATTCTTAAAAAACATGACGTGACACTTTAAAAATTTACAAAAATTAAATAAACATTTTATTAGTAGGTATTTACGTTTCAACTATTGCTTAAGTAACAAATTTAGGGTTGATTGAAGAAGGTGGATGGATGGCCCTTTTGAATGTGTAATTTGTCTACCCAATTCCTAAAGAGACACATTTGACATTACATTAGCATTCAATTATTCAATCCAAATTAATGTACAAAATCTTAGAACATTTCAAACCCGTACAATACCAAGGACACCTCATCAAGATTTAAGTACAAAGAGTAATCTAAGATTTAATATATAATTATTTAATTTTTTATTCAATTAATCTCTTCAAACTGATCAATTTAGTGTGCATTCATTGACTTTTATCATTGTCAATGATTTTGAAATATTTAATTGATTACTTTTTTATTCATATTTTGGAAACAAATGAACACGTCTATCTGCAATCTCTTCATTATACTTATAATCATAGGCATGACTTTGGAGATTTAATATTAATTTGAATCATAACCAAATTTTTCGAAAACTATTAAAAATTCTCCTATAATTGTTAAATCCTACTCAAATTATTTCCATGAATCTTGTAAGATTAAGCGATTTTTGAATAAAAAAACGTTTCTAAAACACAAAAATTAAGTTGGCAGAAACTATGATTATTATTAGAAATGATTAAATATCATCAAAGGTGGCTCCATCTGCGTTTACTTTCCAAATTTACAATTAAGTTGGCCGATTATTTTTCACAGAAATATTAATTAGCAATTACTATACGTCATACTCGAACCAAATCTTTTGGTGGCCATCTTGCATTGATGTGAAACATTTTGTGAAGTTGAAAGCCGGCTGCCTTACACGCAATTCAATTAGAATACACAAGTACATGCCTGAACGTGACATTCAAGAAAGATATTAAACCAAATTTTCAAGGATTTGGTCTGGGTTTTCTGATTTTCCATATAAAATACAACAATCTCATATTAACCCCACACGTACCTTTGTGAATCTGATTCGAGCCAGATCGCGAACCTTCTTGTGAAAACGACTTCGTTTAACTCATGTACTGTCAATTTATTTTTTGTCGATAAAGATTCATTAGTCTGTACCTATTTGAGTTCTAAAGCCTTCTCTCAGAAGGTTGTAATAAAACAATTTTTATATTATTACAATTTTTTATTTTTTCTCGTCGATAAATTTCCGTCTAATATATGTAATATGGGTTAGAGTTGCTGCATATTGGGCCAATCTATGTCCAAACTTCCCTATGGGCCTTAAACATCAAGCCCAACTTTAATGATCCGCTAACAAAATTGAATTTTGTCATGACTACAAATTGGGCTAACTGTAATCGACTGTTAATCGCACCACAACAGAATTTGTTTTGATTCGCCGGAAACGATGGAATACCACAACAAGCTCGTCCTCGCTCCCATGGTTCGAGTTGTAAGTCAATTCTTTTTCAAACTCCTTTTTATTTCTGTCTGCAACCAAACAGTGTCTACCAACTTTCAATTTTTTGTTTTTTCTGTATTTCTTTCTTTTAGGGAACGCTGCCGTTTAGGTTACTAGCTGCTCAATATGGTGCAGATATTACATACGGGGAGGAGATTATTGATCGTAAATTTCTCAAGTGTGAACGCAGAGTAAACGGTACTGTTTTTGCTCAACTTTCATAAAATTTCTTCCTTTTCTTTATTTATAAATTTTGTTTTTGCAGTTTCGTTAATTTCCTGGTTTTTGCTGAACTAATTACGTGGTTTTGGTTTAAACTAGGGTTTTGCTAATTATAATTGTGATTAATTGCTGTTTCATTAGATGATGTATCCAAAATGGACCAAAAATTTGTAAAAATCAGTTAATTTTGCCATGTCGCAGAAGGATGGTTTTACAAAATCAGTTTGCAATTGAGACTATTTTGCTGAGGAAATAAGTGTAACTATGCACATGGAAGCGTTGAAGTTTTACTGATTATGAATAGTTCGAATTTGAGAAATTTTACATCAAGATTTAAGCGTTTGTGAAATTTAATTTCTCCTGGAAGTGGTTTGCTTTATGAATTTACATCTCTCTTCAATTGTTTGTGTATAACTAGAGTTTTTAATTTGGGAAATGTGTTTGATAGGTGTTAGGTATCTATAGGCCTATGTAAATGAAATCAGCAAGCAATGATGTGAATGTTAGCTTTTAAGAAATGTTTTGCCATGGCAATGAATAGTGAATTCCATTATTTTCTCAAAGGGGTTGTGTTTGTAAACTTTAGAATAACTGGTTAGCGAACTAGTTTTATAAATATAGTTAGTTTGGGTATGCTAATGAGGAGGATGAAGGAACTAATGGTTGAAGTTGAGGTCAGCTGGTATCATAGGGTCTTGCTGCTATTTAGTTCAGATTTCAATTTTAAAGTTGAACCTGCACTCAGATTTCTTCAGAACTATGATGATTTCTTTCGTTGCTTTTCTTGTTTCTTAATTTGTTCATCCAATTGTTCACGGCTCTTTAGAACCTGAGTTTTACGTATTACAAGTTTAACCACTGCAAAGCAAGGTGCACTTGTAATCTTATCATCAAAAGAAGAATTGGTAGACTTCAGCTGGTTAGCCGGATGTAACTGTTTTTGGTTATTTATAAACATGATATTTTAAAGTAAACTTACTTTGGTCGACTCAAAGCATCAAACATGTTGAGAACGTTAATAAGATAGTAAGAGTTAGTCTTTTAAGCAAATCACTTGATGGCATTAATTTTTGTTAATGAATTTTGCAAAAGTGTTTCTTTCTAATGTAATCATGGAAGTGGCCATGTTTTACCCATGTATATAAAGTAGCATAGTTTATCATCAAAATTAGTTTCTTTACACCTAGATATCTTGTCAGGGACTATGTATTCTTTGGCATGTTTGCTGGTTCATGTTTTGTGTTGTCAATTAGGCTTGCATACTCATACTCTTAGATATCCAGGCTCAAACTGTTGAAATGTCTATTTAGCTTGTTATCGGCTGGAGCAATATAGCAAAATGTAGGCTGGAGATATCCAAGTGAAGGTTTCATCACTTTTGGTATATGCTTGAGCTGGAGAAACCACAAACCAAAAATATTGTATGACTAACCACAAACAAGAAATATGGTTTTCTTCATTTTCTTTTTTTTCGGCCAACTCAATCAATTGGACCAAAAGTTGTCGCACTGTAAGGGTTTTAAAGATATTACTAACTACCAACTTATTTACTCTTGTCCTTTTTTCTTTTTAGGTTTCAAAAATTTGGAAGTTATGAAAACTACTTGATTTGGTAGATTATAATGTTGTTCCTTCTGTGCTCTTTCTCTGGCTCTTTGTTGGGTTGGACTTACTTGTGACGAGGTCATGTTAAGATCCTTGACCCAGTTTTGATCAATCCATGTGCTGATGAGCTTGTATGAGGGTTTTGATTTTAAAAAACCGGGCAATTCGATGGACTCTTCAACAAGCAATTTATGATCAACATGAATTTTCTTTTATATAGGCACTTCAAGGTGAATTATTGTTGATTCTATCCTTATTGATTAAATTAGGTTACTAGCTCAACGTGGTGCAAACATTGAATTGGAGGTTGGGGTAGCCAATTATGTACTAGTCGAGTCCTAGCATGGAATAAATGGTAATTTTTTTTTTCATGTTTCAGATCAAATGAATAATTAGATTTTTTAAAACATTTTTAATATAATGAATGGTAAATGGTTTTAGCTTCTAAACAATTCCACTAGGTTTCCTTTGCCATCTTGAAGGAGGAGCAAAGGGAAACACTTTAGAATTCCTTCATTTTTTTAAGTGGAGCATGGTGGAAAAAGGGTGAATGAGAGAGAGAAATAAGGTGATAAGAACAAACATACTTGACACTTGTTCCATGAAATCTATAACTCCCTCAGTGAATTGATTTGGAGTGAGAACTCAAGACATTTCATGGCTAACAAAAATACCTAATTAATGACCTGGCTATACCTCAAGCTCTTCTTTGTCTCACCTTATTTATATAAACAAATCAATGAAGTGATTCCTCTACAGAATATTTTGTCTTTGTTTTTTTAATGGCCAATCAAATATACTTTGACGTTATTTGTTGTATATTTGCATAATTAATTGCTAATTATGTGCTATTTTTGGTGGAAGTTTTGGAAGGGAAAATTTGGTCTATTGTTGGTTTATGTTTTAATTTTTGGAGCCTCATATATTCTTTTGTTGTCCAGAATACATTGGGTCAACAGATTTTGTGGAGAAGGGAACAGATAATGTTGTATTTAGAACTTGTCACCAAGAAAGAAATCAGGTAGTATTTCAAATGGGAACTTCTGATGCTGTGAGGGCTCTAAACGCTGCAAAGATAGTGTAAGTTATCCAGGCATTCATTGTTTCCTTTCGTTATAAAGTGCTAATTCTGGTTACTGCTGTAGCTTTAGATTCTTGGAAATTATATATCTTGTTTCATTTAAGGAAGGTTTAATAGAATTCATTGATGCAATTAGCTCTCTAGTTGTGGTTCTTCTAGGCCTACTTGGCACTCATTAAATTTGGGTGGGGTAAAAGCAAATGCTGCAATTATCTTGTCTGAGTTGTTTGATATAAATCCTGAGAGTTAATGTGTGCCGTAATTGAGCCAGAAAATAGAAAGGTTTATGGAATTTTTCAAGCAATTTCATGTGTATTTATGCTATAAAGAACTGCATCATTGAGCCAAAACAAAGAGATATTCATATTTATAAATGTAGTTGCATAAGCAAGTCAAGCTGTATTAAGCTTAATAGACTATACCAAGTTGTGTTAGGCTCAAAATTGAAATGCTTGGTTTACTGCTGCTATTTGATTTATAATAATTACTTAGCAGACATAATAAGTGATTTATAGTAATTGCTTAGTGATTTCATTTATTATAATTGCTTAGCAGATGTAGCTTGGAACTTGCATTGGCATTACGCAAGGCATATTGGTTTCAGTGCATGCATTGAAGACTAATACTATACCAGATCTGTCTATGATTTCTCTCTCATTCATGTTCCCTGTAGGCAGCTTGGATTTTATATTTGTGCCTGAAATTTGGGGTTGGCCAGTTTAGAAGCATTTATTCATCCCTTGTTTGACCAAAACCTTTTCTCCACTCCTTAATTTGATTAAACATTATTGACAGGAATTTATCCATTTAGGTGTAAAGATGTTGCAGCGGTAGATATCAATATGGGCTGCCCCAAGTCATTTTCCGTGAGTGGGGGCATGGGTGCTGCTCTGTTGGCTAAACCGGAGCTCATTCATGATGTATGCTTGCATATACTTGGAGAAGTCTCATTTTCTTTTTTTTGATGTTGAAATTTTTCAATAAGACCATCCTTATTTTTATTTCTTAATCCAGATTTTGACAACACTGAAGAGGAATTTGGATGTTCCAGTGACATGCAAGATTCGACTTCTAAAATCATCTCAGGATACTGTTGAACTGGCAAGGCGAATTGAGAAAACAGGTGTTTCTGCTCTTGCTGTGCATGGAAGGTTGTTTCTAAGTTGTACATATTTTGTCAGGAGCTTTATACTTTTATTGGTGTGATTGAGCAGGTTTAGATTTTAATGGCTTCATTCCATGTTATGACATTAGCTCCATGAGATGCATGTGCGTATTTCTGTTTATCCAATATGATGGAATATTATTTACATATGTTTTGAATGGTCAGGCCAGTGACAAAATCAAATTGCTGAAATATGCATAGTGAATTGCCTTCTGATAGGAGCCTACTCTAACAACTCAAACAATTGGGCTGGGCAATGGGTCTTTCATGGGCTTGAGTAGAACTCTCTTTGGAAAATCAGTTTGCCAAGGGAGGGTGCTCAAGCCCTTTATAACTCATGTGCCCACCCTTTTCCCTTCCAGTTCGGGATCCTAACACCTTCCTTTCACTCCACCTTCCTTTCCAGAGTGAAAGAAATTCAATCAAAGCAGATCCTTTCCATGCCTTGCTTGGAACTCATTTGACTCCCAAGGCAAATTCTGCCGTTGCCAGGAGAGTAAAAAATCCTTCTTTTTAGATTAATTTTTTTGCTTGAGCCAGAAAGAATCTGGAATACTTGTTACTTCTCAAACGTGGAAGTGAAATATAAATTAAGTTATTACACAAAAAGATAATATCATTTATCCTCATAATCTAGCATCACTGTATATTTATATATCCTCTGAAAACCTTAAATGTAAGGCCCAGTCACGATGTTTGTGATTGTATATCTAGATTACTCATTGCATATCCTTGGAAATTTTAATATAGTATTTTCTCTCAAATTTTATTTCAGTTGTGACATGTATTTCTCTTGAAAAAAATTGCAGAAAAGTAGCAGATAGGCCAAGGGATCCAGCTAAGTGGAGTGAGATTGCTGATGTTGTATCAGCATTGTCTATTCCAGTTATTGCTAATGGCGATGTCTTTGAGCATGATGATTTTCAACGCATTAAAAGTGCTACAGGTAAATATTGTCTAATTGTTTTTCTTATTATTTCAAACTTCATAGCGTGATGGAGTTGTTACATCTTTTAATTTACAATACAGGAAAATGTGCATGAAAGTCTTAAAAATAACTATACAAGGTGGAACATTACCGAGATCTCTTCAATAGATTTTTGTTTAATTAATTTCATTCTAATAATTAATACTTTTTTTGCAGTTTTTTGATAATTATTAATTGATTTTTAGAATTACAAATTATGCACCATTGAAGAGTGTATATTCATCAAATATTGATTGTACGTTATACTAAATTTTTTAATGTTGTTACTTGGAGAGTTTATGGGTAGTTGAAATATCAAGCCTCCTTGGGGACATCTACAAATGGATTGGTTTTATATTGCATTACTGCAGGCATGAAACAGTTTCAATAGAATACTCATACTTCTATATTCCTTTATTGAATTCTGATTGATGTTTATGAATTCTAAGTGATCCTAGTGTTTTTTTAAGGTGCCTCGTCGGTCATGGTTGCTAGAGGAGCTCTCTGGAATGCATCAATGTTTTCTCCTGGAGGCAAATTACAGTGGGAAGATGTGAAAAGAGAATATGTTTGGAAGGTAGGTTTTCCTTTGTGTGTGTTGACTTACTATAACTCAATTACGAACTTGGCTCACATTTCCCTTCTGAAAAATTTGGAAATTTGTGTTGAAGTCAGGTTCAATTTGGCATGTTTTACAGTTTTTTAAATTTTCATAGCAATGGTTTCTGCTATATACTTTGTCTTTGCCATCTGGTGTACTACGTGTGACCTTACAATATTTTGTGCTTTTAATTTCAGAGCATCTTATGGGATAACGACATCAAAAGTACAAAGCACACTTTGAAAGAAATAATAATGCGTTATTCTTGCCTTGAACTCCCAGAAGGGAAGGCTGTGATCAAGTCAGAAACATTGGCAGATCTAGCGTAAGTTTTGATTTTAATAATCTCAGCTTAAAAACTTGAATGGTTTTGAAAATTTCCTCCACCCAACTGGTATTATTATTGTCATTGACTTTATCTGTGTATATTCTGGAGCATATTCAAGTTCTTTTCTTAAACTATGACAATATCATTGATTGAAGAAGTAATTACAAAAGAGTGAGCAGACTGTCCACAAAAGTAAAGATCCATCTAGAGGATCAAAAAAAGATCTATGCAATATAGGAATTCAAAAAAATTTCATTTGAAAGCCTTAAATTGTTAGCAAGTTTCTTTAAGTGATTAATACTCAGCGCATTCCTTTAAATATTTTGGAGCTGGAAGTATTAGTCCTGATTAGTTTCATGAACTACTTCTGAAAGTTTTTAAAGATGCTGCAGTGTATATGTAAACCTTTGAGAGGTTTTGCCAGTGCTAGCATAACTAGATATCTCTTTTCTAGAAATGTGAAGCATTATAAATTAGTAGTTATTCTAATGAATAAATCTTTTTTGTAGAACTGGGTGTGCTGCCTTTTTAATTAACTTTTCTAAATTTTTATGGTATATCTACTCTAATTTATAAAATTGCAGCTTTTCATGATAACGTGGACAGGCCTCAAGTTAGGTTAGGTCTCTGTCATAATAGACATACTATTACATCACATAGTATTGTTTTGACCTGCAATATTTGCGGAAATGTGTCTGGTTTCTTGACCTCCAATCCTGCCCCTAAGATGCTGCTTGGCTAATTGTGTTGCTTTTAGTTGATTGCATCTTATTTTGGCATTTTGAGGCTGTTGTTACTCGGGTGATTATCTTGAACTCTTATTGATTACTTGATCTTTCAGGAAACTTTATGGGGAGGAAAAGTACTACCAGTTTGTTAGTGATAACCGATCTTTGGTCAACGGAAGTAGATGAAATTTAGTGATTCAGTCAATATTATTGCTTGTTGTCCAAGCTTGAACGGTACAGAGTTTTGACAAATTGCGGACACACTACACCCACTGAGATTATGTAGGAAAGAATAAGAAAGGGTAGCGAAGTAGGGTGCTCAATGCTGATATTTTTTTTCTCAGTGCCCTGCTGGCAGAAATGTGCCATGTTGAAGGGGCTTGTATTCTTTGGAATGTGCCAAATGTGCTCAGTAAAATTTTGATCTATAACTTATGTTGTAAGAATTTTCAAAGTAGGGTTATTAATGATGTGTCAACTCTCCTCATACTTCTTTTAACTTTCTCTCCTCCATACATTTTGGACACCACGCGAGAATGTAGCCTTTCGGTGAAAGTGAAAGATTGAGTAGTTGGTAAGTAAATAGATTGCTCAAGTTTGCTTGTGGAATGGTTTTCTTTTGGGAGTAAATGTCTTCATCAAATCTACGTTTTGGTCATTTTTAATTTTAAAAAGTTATTTCAATATGATATTGTCCTTTATTGGAGGTTATTTTGTGTAAAATTTCTGAACTGCAGGGGTCAAACACTCAAACTGTAAGCGAGGCCTGTAATATTTGTCCATTTTATTTGAGCTTGACAGTTACTTTGGTTGGTCTCGAGTTATTTTCAGTGAGATTAATAAATCCGCGTTTCTTTAATAATTTTATAAAATGTCAGCCAACATGATTGACGGGGATGGGCCCATTCTTTTCCATTAAAAATAATAAGCAGATGAACCAATTAATTAAATTAATACATTATCCTTCCTATATTTTGACATAATTGAATTAGTTAATTATTATGTTTAACAGTTTACTTACGTTTTAAAATTTAAATAATAAAATAACACCGAATCAATTTTTTTTAATTTTTAAGTTTATAAAATAAACAATTTATCCACGCTATTTCAACCGACTCACAGAAGGGCCAGGATTAAACATAGGTGCACATATCCCGAATCAAAGCCGTATTGGATCCCGCCTCATAAAAGGAGTGGATAAAACGGTGATAAAAGAAGTCGTAAAAGGCCATTTTAGCAAAATCACATAAAAATAATCTCTTGCGTACTCTGATCCTCCACAGAGAGGCGTTTACTTCCCACCTAGGTTTCTCTCATCTTTACATTCACTTGTTTGTACGCATCAATTTCTTTTTCGTTTTCTACTTTCCATTCTCTTTCATATTTCGTAAACCTAGATCCATCACAAGTTTTTTCTATTTCTTTCTTTTTTTATGTTTTGAGTTTTGCGTTTTATTTAGTGATTTCAGTACTTGATTTAGCAAATATTTGAAATTATTGAATGAATCTCGTGTCTTTCTGTGAGCGAATCTTTGTAGAATGCGTGATTTTGATGTGATTAACATTGTGATTAGTGGTGTAATTTCTGTTGCAGGTGAAGTTGGGAACTGACTGCAAGCTTGCACTTATATTCAGATTGGTAATTCTGATTCTTTTTTCTTTCAAAGTTTTTTTGGTTGGAATTAAATACGTATCATCATGTATACTTTTCATATAGTTTCTTAAAATATTGTTTTTTTTTTTTTTTAAAGAAAAAAATTTGCAAGAGATTGATTGATATTAATGTGTGTTGATGTTAGCAGTTTGTTGAGTTGATGAGAATTTTTTTTCATTTTTTAACACCAATGCTGATTTTTGTTCTGCATAATTTATGTTGAAACACTATTAAACCTGAGAGTTTAAGTTGCCTAAAAGTTTAAGCTGATAAGGAAGGGCTCGTTATACTTGAGTTCCTTTATTCTTCCACTTGTGGAAAACCAGATTAAGAACAACTTGTCTCATAAAATGAAATACAGGCTTTTTTTGTGCCATAATATAATCTAATTAATGAAATAAGGCTTTTTAGGATTTTAACACAAGACCTGATTTAGGGCTAAATAGAGAATGAACATATAGAATATAGTGTAATTTAGAAGGAGAAGAATAGAAATTAGGGTGAGAAGAGAATTAGAGAGGAGAGTGAATTAGAAGATAAGAATTTAGGAAATAGAGGCGAAAATGATTTACTTTTCTTATTATTTCTTAATTAGTTTGTCTTCTGAAGATACATCATTTAGGCCTATATATAGTGGCCAGGTCTTAATCAAAGATGAAATAAAAAATTAACTGCAAATAGATAAACTGAATTTGAGGCAACTTAATCAAATTTAAACAAGTGATAATCCAACTCAAAAATATATGATCAAGGTGGATTCTTGATTCTGTGTCATTTTCTATCAATTTAGAAAATATTGATTTGTGTTGATTTAAGATATTGATAATAATTAAAGCGATGAGGATGATGAAACTCTTCTATATAGGATGGCTCTTCCATTTAATTAAAAAATACAAACATTATCTATTCTCAATGTAGCAAACAAATCACCCCAAACAGTTTTTGTTGCATCAATTAGCTCATGCGAAGTTTTAATGTTGTACACCTTAGCACAAGGGGAATGAAGTTGTGACTGTTATACTGGATGAATGATTTGTTAACACCATAAAAGAGTGCAGTAGAGGCAATAAGCTTCTATTAATTACTGAACTATCAACTGAGTGTAAAGAGATCCAACGGAATGGGTAAACTGTTTGAGAAAAATTTTCACAGTGATTGTGATCACATCACCATCTAGGTTAGAGATAGATACTATCAAGGTGAGATGGCTTACTTGTCTCAGTGGGTGGAATCACACTCTTAGGACTTGTACACAAGATGGGTCAAGAGCCTAGAGAGGTTTAATAACAGTTATACTCTCTTGGTAAGGTACTATGTTCTTTAGGTGCTGACAGAATGATGATTTGAGTATATGTGGGAACTAGAGATGTAACAGAAGGGTTATCTGAAGGTTGTTTGCTTGAGATATGTAAATTTGTCGGGTTAAGTTCTAAAATAGAACGTCTAGGTCATTTCAATTGTCTTATAGCATCTTTAATACCCTGAGCATCATTTCTCATGAAAGTTACATCCTTTATGATAAGTGGCTAAATACTTGAAAATTTATAAGGCATATATGAAAATACAAATCACTCAAAAGGTCTACAAAGTAACCCTGTAAGTGAATAAAGGCAGTTTGACTCTCCATGAGCAAAATTAATGGTTTTAAGAGTCATTTTAATAACCCAAAATGCCATTGGATAATGAATCAAGTCCAATCCAAACACGCAAACAAAAACGGCAGAAAAATATTTTTAATTAGTAGCCAACATTTTCTTGACAGGCAAAGCATATCCCATGCACAGATAACCAGGGCACTGAATCATCCTCATGCATGTTTCATTGTGTGAGTGCTGTGCTTGTGAAGGCTGTTGAGGCTGTTTTGGTGTTAATTATAGTGTTTTGAACAAAATTTTGTTTTGAAAGATTGATATCAATTGATGTAGGATAACAAGAAAGAAAGAAAGAAGGAAGACAGAAGATTAGAGGAGAAAAGAATGGATAATTACTTTAAACCTCTTGAGGTTTCCCAAATAAACTTGAATCCCCTATGATATAGTTATTAACTCTGAACCCCTTGCCATTAGACTGTAGTACTATCTCGATAGTTTTAACAAATACAGAAAATAAATAGTAATTTACCTAACCCTTATTTATTATTTTAATCAATTCAATTATTTATTAATAATAAAGTATATAAAAGTTATATCAGTGACAGCCAAGTGTATAATAGAACTGATACATAAGTTTAAAAGCAATGAACAATTTTGTAAACTTGTAAATCAGTTACGTCGAGTTGTCTCCTTTTCATATCATGGGGCCTATAACTCTATGACTCATTTGACTGGATATATTGTGAAAGTTGCTACTCATCTTGTACCACTGACTTCTAATATCTAGTGATTGTTATCATTTATTAGTACTAGTTCAGAAGGTCTAGACTGTACAGTTCTGGAAATTGATGAAGACAGTTACTTTGATTATGTGCTGTTTAGATTGATTCTGTATCAACTTGTGTAAAAATCAATTTGTTCACTTTAAATTCAGAAATTAGCTGTGTGCCTCTGCCTCTCAAGTTTTCTATGTTAATTCTAACTGTCAAATGGGTTTTATTACAATCTGCTTATGGTTGAACTCTAGTTCTTGAAATTCAGTTCCTTGGGAGTGATAGTTTTTAATTTCCAACAAACACACCAACAACCCCGACCGCGCCCCCCAAACCACAACCACCTCCGCCTCCACAACAACCACATTAGCGGATGTGGGCTTAAATTACTGTGTGATTTTATTCAAACTTAAGAGCAATCACAATTTATTTACCATGATGCTCTGAATTTTATTTATTAAGTTCATTGGATGATCAGTTTAAGTGATACCGTGTAACATTCTAAATCTTGTCAATAGATTATTACGGACTTCCCTTTTCTGGAAGCCACCTTATTTTTTCTTTCATCTATCTTTAGGTAAAAGAATAGTTAGATTAGATTAAGAGCTGGAAATTTTGTGACCAAGTTCACTGTTTGCTGATTCTTCATAAGTATATGTTTTTTTGTCATTTCTTGGGGAGGACAGCATTTGTCTTTCCATATTCCACTCTGCAAAAGATAAAATTTTCATTAATTTAGAACTANTTAAGTGATACCGTGTAACATTCTAAATCTTGTCAATAGATTATTATGGACTTCCCTTTTCTGGAAGCCACCTTATTTTTTCTTTCATCTATCTTTAGGTAAAAGAATAGTTAGATTAGATTAAGAGCTGGAAATTTTGTGACCAAGTTCACTGTTTGCTGATTCTTCATAAGTATATGTTTTTTTGTCATTTCTTGGGGAGGACAGCATTTGTCTTTCCATATTCCACTCTGCAAAAGATAAAATTTTCATTAATTTAGAACTAGCATGCAAGTTAATAGCAGTTCTCTATTATAGGTTCCCCTTATTGAAGTATTTTCTTTTAGGATTCATATAATGGGCACCATAATTTTTTCCATAGCTTGAAACATTCTCTTTATAAATAAACTAGCAAGTGATTCTCATTTGAATGCACTGTAAATCATTTACTCAGTAACTGTTTCGTAATTTTAAGTTCAGTTTACTTATATTTACATTATGGGACTGAAAAAGTATGCATGAGACATAGTTTTACTTGAATTGTTAGTAGTTCTCTTGTAGCTATTTGTCACTGGGTTGTGGAGTTCCATGAGCTTGTAAATGGGCAAAAAAGAATTTGGGAATTGAGAAAATATGCACGTGTATTCAATAATGCAACTATTGTTGGGCTTCATTATAGTGATTTATCTACAAAAACAAATTTAAGTGCATTATTTGATGGACGACTCTTGAGAAGGCTGTTATGCAAAAATTAGTTAGTTTGGTTCAACTTGGATGATACGAATATACGTTCAATAGTGCAACTATTGTTGGGCTTCATTATAGAGATTATCTACAAAAGCAAGTTTAAGTGCATTATTTGATGGATTTCTCTTGAGAAGGCTATGGTGCAAAAATTAACTTTGTTCGATTTGGATGAAATGGTTAAAACTGCATATTGCTTGGAATGTTTGGTATGTTTATTTTGCAAGTGTTAATCTATCACATACTTCAGTTACCACCAAGGCAATATGATTCTCAACTAACTTGGTGGTTTGTTTGATTCCTACATAATATCATGAAAAATGAATACATATTTCACCACTAGTTAGTTACAACTTGGAGCCTCTAATAGCATCATGATGGTTTGGGTGTTATTTTCTTCCAAAACTTTCTCAAGCTAAACTATTGTTTTCGGCCGACTGTTACCTGTTTACATCTTTTAATATGATAATCAACATATTGAGGGGGGAAGAAAGGCTTTTCTATTTAAGTGCATGGAATTGTGGAATTGTGCATAAGACTTGCTNTAATACCATCATGTTGGTTTGGGTGTTATTTTCTTCCAAAACTTTCTCAAGCTAAACTATTGTTTTGGGCCGACTGTTTCGTGTTTACATCTTTTAATATGATAATCAACGTATTGAGGGGGGAAGAGAGGCTTTTCTATTTAAGTGCATGGAATTGTGGAATTGTGCATAAGACTTGCTCATTTTATTTTCTTGTCTCTCTTCTATAATGGTTCAATAAAGAAGAAAGTTTCAATTGGTTATTTTATTGTTATGGTGCTTTCTTTGAATAGATAAGATGAGGCTTGCTACTTTTTAAATGTTTTAGTCCAAGACTTCTCTCCTCTTTTGTTGAAGGTAATGCTGCTGTTGCATTAATTAAACTCTGGGGAAGTTGTAAACTGGGGCTGGAGTCCTTTTCTGTTATTTCATTTGTTTTGCATGTTGTCTGGTGCTGGAAGTTCTTTGCCATTAAAAACTTGACCAAGGAAAGCTCTCTTTTCTCTGATTTGACTGGCAGGTTGATACATTGTTACAACCTACTTACAGTGAATAGGACTAAAGATGGAGCTGAATAACATTAAGGATGCATTTGATCGTGTTGCAAAGAAACAAAAGCTGTCCTGTTCTAAAACCCAAGAAGTGATTGAAAAACTTATCGAAGAAATAGGAAAGGCATTAGAAACAATAAAGACATCCTCACAACTAGATGATAGGTATGTCCTCACTGAACTTAAGAAAAAGTTGCAAGAACTTGCTCCCCTCAGTCAACTGGAAGGCACACAGAAGGAACTGAACATAGCACTGAGCAAGTACACGAAAGTTCTGGAGAAATCCTTCAACCCAGATATATCCAAGGCTTACAGGAATGTTGAATTTGATAGTCAGACAGTTAACCAAATAATTGCAAACCATTTCTATCGACAGGGTTTGTTTGACGTTGGTGACTGCTTCATAAGTGAGACCGAGGGATCAGAAAGTGGTGCTGCTATGAAATCCATTTTCCAGGATATGTATGAGATTCTTGAAGCCATGAGGAGTTGGAACCTAGAGCCTGCACTAAAATGGGCAGCTGCAAATTCCGATAAGCTCAAAGAAAATGGGTCAGACCTTCAGCTTAAACTTCACAGCTTGCAGTTTGTGGAATTATTACGAAGTGGAAGCAGAGATGAAGCTCTCAAGTATGCAAGAGCCTTTCTGGCTCCTTTCGCTTCAAACCGTGTGACTGAGATCCAGAAGCTGATGGCCTGCCTCGTCTGGGCTAGAAAGCTTGACAGTTGCCCATACCCACAATTGTTATCCCCAAGCAATTGGGTTTTAGTGGCAGAAGAGCTAACTAGGCAATTCTGCAATCTTGTTGGACAGTCTTATGAAAGCCCATTGAGTGTGACGATAGGTGCAGGGGTTCAAGCTTTGCCACCACTTGTGAAGTTTATGACTGTGATGGCAGGGAAGAGGCAAGAATGGCAATCGATGAAGCAGTTGCCTGTACCAGTCGAATTGGATAAGGAGTTTCAGTTCCATTCCATATTTGTGTGTCCGGTGTCAAAGGAGCAATCGACGGAAGAAAATCCACCAATGATGATGTCTTGTGGGCACGTGCTTTGCAGGCAGTCTATTAACAAGATGTCGAAGAACAACACAAGAACTTTCAAGTGCCCATACTGTCCATCAGATATCGATGCTTCACACTGTACACAGCTGTATTTCTAATGAATACCCAAATATGTACACTGGGTTTGTATTTAACTGTCTTTCTCTCCATCTCGAACAAACACTTGTAGTTTGGAAGGAACTTGTGTTGTGTTGTGTTGTGTGGTGGTGACACAAGTTGGTCTGGTCTGGTCTGTTGTACACTGTTAGTTTATGCATTTGTTGTATATAGAAATTCTTTCTTCAAATTCATCTTCTTTTGGTATTTTGGAGAAGTCCCAAAACTCCCAACTCTTTTCTTTGCCAGATTGCATGCCATGGGTATATCACATTAATTCATTTTAGAAAAACTAATGGTTTTCACATTGATTCATTCATCTTTTTTTTTATGTATAGTTGTTTCGATTGTACTTTGTGTATGATTAGTTTGATATATGAATAATGTTTCGTTTCATCATTTCAGAACTTTTTCACTACATGTAAAAAGTTAACCTGATAATCAATCAATCCAATGGGTGAGTAATTTATGAATCCTATAGTGAAGCAGTGCATGAATATAGATGATGAAATGCACAGATGTTGGGATATGTTAAAATAGCTTGGAGATGTTCACTTTTTAAAGCGGCAAATAGAAGGTATGCACTCATCAACACCACTAAAAGCTTAAAAGTGTGCGCAATTTCAGGAAATTCATCAATACCCCAAAAGGGCTCCCTACAAAACAATCACCCTTTTTAAGCTTACGATTGATTGTCACCTCTTTTTAGGCTCTCCTTATCTTTTGCAAACGTGTAATTAAAGTCATGCCAACGTAAAAATAAAAATAATTTTTCATTTCCCAAAAGTTGTTCGAGTTTCATTGAATGGCAACCAACACCCCAAGTGAAAGTTCATTTCATGATAATGTGGTCCATAATTTTTTTTAACTTTTAACCATGTGATCTTTCCTTGGTTTGGGATTGATAGGTCCACATTTTACTGAAGGTGTATTGCTCTTTTCTTTTTTTTCATAATTAGGTGGTCCCATCTTCTTAACCCATGTGATTTCTTCGTTGGATCATGTTTCTAATTTTAAGGATACATAACTTTAATTTCTTTTCTTTTCTTTTTTTAATTTTCTAAATCAAAAACTTGTCAAGGCAGTAATCTATGAATTTGATTTTAATGGACCTTCAACACGGTGTTCATATCCACTAAAAGGTTATATTGTAAAATTGCATATACTTTACACACAGAATGTACAAATAGAAATAAATGGGTCAGCATTATTGTACATGATGGTACCTAAAAGGTGAAAAAGTAGAGAAATTGATTATAAGAAAACAATTACAAGGAGGGTGTGTCATTTGTGATACATCTGACAGATATTACGTGCCAGTTGTGTTGATTCTTTTGTTCAATAAAATCTTGATGTTTATATATGTAACAAGGACTTTTATTGTTAGGTTGCAGTGTAAGAGGTGACATAATAATGGCCACCCACCATGCAGACCAACTCTTTGGAAGAACACCAAATTGTTTGATTCATATTTTTTTCTTTAGTGAGAATTAATTTGCTTAAAAACTTTCGGTTAGTGGACTAAGTACTCAAATTATATGATAAGTGGAATGAATCTCCATCTTCAGAAAACACATGTATTTGATTTATCTAATGTTAATTATGAGATTTTGTTTTGGCATTAGCAAGTAAGTGCGCTTAACAAGACATGCATGCACAAATAAAGTGGAACAATTCTTCTTTCTAGTGGAATTCAACTTTTCATACATTTTCAATCACCCAATTTCTTAATCAGTCTGACTCAGAGAAGGAAATCCATGGAATATGGGATTCTTTTTTTTAAATAAAAGAACCCATTTAATGGTTTTGTATAGAACGAATAAAGTATGTAAATTTAATTACAATAAAGTGTTTCCTAATAATTATAATTATATATAGTGAGCTTTTGGTTTACTTTTTTAGTTTATGTTCTATTATTAAATAGAATTAACTTTTTTCTGAAGTTTTTGCTTTTAATTTTGTGTACTAAACCCATCCCTCCTACATTAATTGTGATTGACAAATTGCAGAGATTTAAAATTCATCAAAAGCTTGTTATAAATAAAAAGATCTCTGCTTACTTTATTGAGATTTGGGCATTTGAAAAAGTAAATAAAAATGATAATGCTTCAAAAAACAAAACTAGATATAGTTGAATATACCTTATATGCAGAAGGAGGGTTGTTTGGAGGAGTTTGGGAAGGTGTGGGGTCTGATAATAATGGGGTTAGAATAAAATGATAAGTGGAATGTATCTTTTTCATACACAAAAAGTACTAGATTACCTAATTTATGTAAAATTTGATCACTTTGTTTTCTCCAGAAACTGCCCAAATATCTTACAAGTGCGCCACACACAAAAGTGAAACAAACAAACAATCATACTTCACCTATTCCAATGCCTTCAACATTTTCAATTTAAAAACTATGCGAAATTTTTAAATAACATATGCTCCATCTTTACTCTTAACTTCCATTCTAAAGATTTAAGAACCCTTTTGTCATTTACCTAAAACACAACCATACCCTTCTCTTTAAACCCACCAAAAAATTAATCCATTTCAATATATTTTACATGCAAAAACGAACCCATTTCCAATATGTATTTTTTCCTGGCACATTGTGATTGTAGTGATGAGATTGAGACTCGACAACCAACAAAATAATATAAAATCTAAACAAAGAGCCCCCCCTTCCCCATTCCCTACCAATTTCAATAATTTTTAATGAATAATAATGACAAAAAACAGTCTGAAAACTCAATCAAGTTCATGTGGCTTGTGGGGTTTGTTTCATTTCACTATCTGTTCTGCAGAAAGGGCCTAGCCGTCCTCTACTGCTTTGTCACTATTTACCATCCCTTCATTCAATTATTTTATTTTATTTTTTTTCATATTCATAATATTTATATTTTTCTTTGTAGTACAAATATTTAGAAACAAAAAATATATTTTTTAATATCAATATTAAAATCTTGCATTTTCAAAGCCGTGCAAATCGCTGACTCTGTTCATATGTTTCCTCATAATCGCCACTTTAGCCAATCTCTCAGCCGCTCTCCAAGCCGATGTCGGCGTGAGCGGCTCCGGCTTCTCCTCCGCCGTTTGTCCATTCACTCTCGCCCTCTGACCCTGTATCTGTCTGCGCTTGTGCAACTCGGCTAGCTCGGTTTCCAAGCCGCGTACGTACTCCTCAGCCGAGCCCGTTCTCTTCTGCATCAATAAAGCTCGAGCCGAAGACAACAAGTGGTGAGCTCCGGAAAAGTCGTTAATCTCGATTAATCTCCTGGACTCGGCAACGGCTCGAGTGGTGATGTGGAGATTCCTCAACCGTGCGATGTTGGGGGTCGAGGATCTAACGGCTTGCGGTTTAGGTGCCAACATGGATTGCTCCTTAGAGCAGAATACTTCCTGTGATAATGGGTCTATGTAAGAAGACCGTACGGACAACACATGGTGAGACCCGATTGATGAACCGACTACTTTCAATTCGATTAACAGTTCTCTCTCCTCCTCTGAGTATAAATCCCCAACCCGAACCGACCCCAATGCAAGAGATGCGGGCCGGCCAGTTAGAGAGTAAACACCCGTTATCTCTGCATGACCCGATCCGGATATGAACCCCAGTTGGAGCTTCAGATCCTGGACCACCACGCTTAATAATCCCCCAATGAATTTGGAAAACGCCTCATCATACGGGGCGTGGTTAGACGCGCCGTTGTCACTGAAACCAATGGAATGTACGGGGATATCCGACTGTGAAAAGCGCGTGGAAGACACGACAGGTAATGAACGGCCCTGATTGGAAGAGGAGCTACTTTCTGACAGAATCAGAATCGTAGAGAAGGGATTTCTCTCGCGTCGATCTTCGAGTACTTTGGCTGCTTTTTTAAGCGCGTCGCTTACAGTCATTCCTTGACCGGTAGTCCCAATGGCGTCCACTATTCTCCGTGCGGACCTCCGTCCATTGGTTGTCATCCGCCGTAAAGGCAATAACCTTTTAGAAGTAGTAGAAAACGCAACTATGGATAAACGATCTGATGCACTCAAATTCGAAATCACCAACCGCATGGCCCGTTTCATCATCTGAAGCTTGGACCCTCCCATGCTCAAACTCACATCCAAAACCGTCACTAAATCGATAGGAGCGCGTCTCATTGCACGCGCTCCAACACAAGGTGGCGCCTTAACCTTCAAAACCATAGCATAAGTTTCGTAACTCCTACCTACCGTAACCACAGCCGCCTCAGGCAACAAAGCTATATGAACGTTGGACGTAGAAGAGGCAGAGGCGGCGGCGGCGGCGGCGACATCGATGGTGGTGGCATAGAATCCTGGAAAGTCCTGAAGTTGTTCTTCTTCTTCGGAGGATTCGGGAATGGGATTGAAGTGGGATAGAGAGATTGGAGATGTTAAAGGCTCGTCGTCGTTATAAACTTTGAAGGTTTTTGATACTTGGTGAAGGTGTTTGCTGTTGTTGTAGTTTTTGTCGTCTTGGTTAAACAAAAGAGGGAGTTGTTTCCAGTGAGAGTTGCAAACTGGACAGATTAAAAGGGTGTTCTTGTTGTTGACGTGAGTGGTTATGCAAGGAAAATGAAATATATGAGAACACTCCGCCGTGAAAATTGCTGTTCCCTGTCCAGTCTTCACGCTCTGTAAACAGATTCCACATCTACTCTGCAAAACCAAAACCAAAACTCATTAGAAAACAAGTGAATTAATAAATAGTTTACATAAAGTTTGAATATGAAGAAACTTACTTTGGAGAGACGTAGGGTGGCTTTGAGAAAAGAGAAGCTGGAGGGAGATTTGGGAGAAGATGGATCGGAGAAACGGAATAATCTGGGACTGTGACCGGTGCTGTTAGGTTTCTTCGGACTAGAATCAGTAGAGGTTTTGCATTGAAGTCTGGGGCTGCTGGGAACCGACGTCGTAGTACTGGTTTTGCATCTCATGCTCGGGCTCGAAACTGGCTGAGACTGTAACCTAGGCGTGGAAGGATTGGAAAAAAACCCAAATTTAGAACTCAAACTCGGGCTCTGGCTATGACAATGCTGCTGCTGCTTATCCGTCACCACCGTTGTTGTTTCTCTCTCTTTAGGTATTGAAGTACAAAAAGCTCGTCGCCAACCAGTCACCATTGCCGCTAACAATAACAAAAACAAATATCAAACGTGAAAATCTTTATGTTATAGAAAAGAAGAGTTTGATAGGTTAAGCATAGAGAAGAGTCTCTCGATTCTCTGTTTTGTGATAAAAAATTTGTGTTTAAACTTTCTCTTTCTTCTTTCTCTCTTTAGCTATAGGATATTGATAATAGAATATTTGATATAAATAACACCAACTAATATAATGGAAGAAGCTGCCATCACAAAGACATGTTACAGTATTGGGATTAACAAGTGACTGACAAGTGTAGGTTTTTATCAAGTAACAAGTAATAAAATTTTCCAGTTTTTTTATTTCTGTAAATACAAACAGTACAAATTATAATATCGTGCTAGTATAATGTAATCCCAGCATCACCAATTTACCTTCTTTTCACAAACAAGATTACTTTTTTTTTGTTGTGGTCAACGAAGAATTTTAATCCTTCTATCTGATCCTGATGGAGATGGATGGTGTAGGTGAAGCAACTGTGATCATGCGGATCTTGATGGTGATTTTGGTGGGTCCGGGTGACTTAAATGGATGGGATCCAATTGTGAAGAGGATGGATAAAAAATATGCATTTTATTGATGTGATGGTGATTGATTTTGATTTTATTACTAATAATGCATAGAATAACGAACTAGTATAATGAAATAAAAATAAAAATAAAAAAATTATTATATGCATGGATCCCGAGGAATCCTAGAACACACTGTAACAAAGAGGAAGAGGGAACATGAACAACAACCCTATTTCTGATTTAATGAACAAGATAGAGTAGCCGGGTTAGGTTATTGTTTAATTCTTTTTTGATTCGCTATATTTTATTTCTTTTAAAAGATTCATTAAATTCACTGACGGAAAACAGTACAATATGCCATTTAATAATTGGATAATGTTGTTTAATTATTCTCATTAAAAGCTTATTTGAAAATTTCCGCAATTTTCAATATAACAGCAAAATTCATAATTTATCGTGCGTTATAATTTTTGCATTTAAGTAAAGCATTTTGATAATTTTTTTTATAGCCAAAATATTCAGATCAATTTACATGTATTTTTATTAATTTTTTAAGATCTTAAAATTACCGATCAGATAAAAACTTTAATAAAAATAAGATTTATCAATTTTTCTCTTGGAGTGTGTCTTTCGTATTTGTACATATTTTGTTTTTTATAAAATTCTTACATTTCAAAAAAAAAAAACTTTAATAGTTATCTCTATTAACACCTAAAAAAATACTTAAACTCATGATATTTTTAAGTAATACAATTGAAAATTTCTATTGAACCGTTCGATTATATTGCAAATTATTTGAATCTCATAGCGTAAATATATAAATTCATAATATTTATGACTATTTTTCAATTTGGAAATAGTGTTATTACAATACATGAATGAAATGGTGGAAATGATTACACAATAAAGTGCACGTTTTTGGGTTGATTCCATATAATTTTGCTACGCACGTAACGTATATACAGGACCAATCATTTCTTTACCTTGTTATGCATAGTACCAAAGAATTATGTGGTTAATTATCACACTCATTTATAATTAATTATTGTTATTTATAAATTTTATACGCTAATTATTGTTATTTATATCATGATAAGTACTATATAGAGAACGATGATTTGATAACACTTGGTGCAAATAAATTTAAAATATTAAATATTTCTAAATTTTATTCATTTTGGATTAAGTTTAGATAGGTTGATTCCATGTTCATTAGAGTGCAATCGAATAAGTTAGTTAATTATCAAATCAAAGTACGAGGTGGTTAGCTTGAACATGGATTATTATCGGAACTTTTTATGCTTGATTAGATAAGATCCAAATGTAACCATAAATTTCAATTATTTTAATCTAAAAAAATTGATTAATTTTGGTTGTTAATGTTCATGAATTGATTTGGAACAAAATTTATGATCCAATCATGTAAAATTGTTAATGAATTATGGATATGGTTAATTGCTTTTAGGATTTTTGTTTTTTTTGGTGACTTTGGTGATCGGAAGTGTCCGAGTCAACTTACGCGTACATTAATTAATCTTCCGAAACCCTGAAGTGAACAATCAGATAAATCTTCTCAGTAGTCATCCTTATTAGTACTAAGGGAGACTCGAATTCAAGAATCCATATTAAATTCTTTTACTCTTTTACTAGTCAACCACCTAGTGGTGGTTGCATCTAGGATTCTTTCTCATACGACGGCAACTAAGGATGAGAAGCGAGTCGAGCAGTTTGCGAACTACTCGAGCTCGACTCGTGAAAAGCTCAAAATCGACTCGCTTTGAAGTCAATCGAGTCGAGCTTGAGCTCGAGTGGTTTGTTTGAGGGGTCAAGTCGAGTTCGATCAGGGTGAAGCTCGACGCAATAGGCTCGAGAGCCTTATCGCACTTGGAGGGTCAAATTGCAAATTTTATAACTTTTTTATTTTCAAGTTTTTAAAATGACAAACAATCCTCTTCTAACAATAAACACGAAGCTCGAGCTCGAGTATCCACCCATACTCGTAAGCTCGAGCCCAAGTATTCCAACTCGAATTTCATACTGTTTATCATGAACAGAGCTCTAGACACTTGGCTCGTACACACCCTAGCGCAAAAAAGTTGCAGATAATAACGGTTGTTCTGATTACGGAAGGCCATTCTCAATTGTTTATTAAGTTAACAGTTTGAGAATAAAATTTTTAACATTTATTATGGAATGCTTAATTGTTTATTATTAAATTAACATTGAGTTAACAGTTTGAGAATAAATTTTTTAACATTTATTATGGAATGCTTAATTGTTTTAAGAGTGACGGGACATTTCCAAATTCATTTGTCAATTTTCTTTCCATTTATCCAAGGGGACAAGTCATGTCTCCTTTCACTCATACTACTCCACAAATAATGCTACTCATTTTGTTCTCTTCTTTTTGTGCTTTTTTTTCAATCTCATTTATTCATTTACTCTATTTTTGTTTATATTTTTATTATTTTAACAGGATTAATTGGGTTTATGGATCTTTACAGAAATTAAGTATCCAAATTTCGATTTCCAAAAATATTAATTGAATGAACCTCATCCACAAAAAAATTGGTAACAGAAGCATGCACCTAACTCTAATTGAACCACATTGATCTTCATCAAACAACTATGATGTGACCCATTAACTCCTATTTATTTATGTAAGAAATAGTGGTAGAAGAAGAAGAGTTCTTATCTCAAATAATAAGATGTAGTCTAGTATGTATACGGGATACTAATTATCCAATAAAATATGAATTTACATAATAAATAATAATTTAAAAAAATTATATAGTAATTATTTTTGGCTTAGTGATTAGGATTTAACTGAGTTTAAGTGATCAGATTATGGCTATTTGAAATAATTGTTCTAAAAAAAGATACTTTTATGTTTTTATTTAATTAGTTTAATATGTGAATATATACTTATAAAAGATGAGATATTGGGAACGGTCAAAAGGGCAGATTTTAAATCAAGAAATATAAAATTTAACACTATGACTCATTAATTATTCACGATCTTGTAGATAAAGTATTAATATAATAAAAAATGTATATGCTTTCCTTAAAAGCAACTATAAAAGGTGAGTTTATATTAAAAAAAAATTAAAGGGGTGTTAATGTAAGTTTATGAAACTCATGGAAGGTATCGTAAATTTTACGCTTTGTATTTATGAGATAGTCAACAGTACTCCTCCCAAAAAATCACCAGGCCTTGATTTGACACTTGACAGTGTTAACGGTCAATTATAACAGCAGCGCTCCCAACAGTCACGTGCTCTGTTTAATTTAAACGCCATCACCTCCGCCACACGATTCGCCTCATTGGAAATACCACTCTCGTGGGACGGCGTTAGTCAACTCCGTCATGTATTTTTCAATATGCACAACCTCACCTTCAACTCTAAATTAAATTAAATTTTAATCTCGTTAATTGGATCCAAAATCATTTTTACTCCTTTGCCTTTTCTTCTCCCGGTTGACTATGTTCTTGTTTTTCATTTCTTCAATCACCGGCTACCGGCTATAATATTTTATTTTCAAATCTACGGCCTGCAGTTTTTCCACAGGATCAGGGGCTCTGGATGGTGGTGGAGTCAGAGTTTTTTTTTGTAAATAACGAGGTAAGCTGTAAAAGTGTCCAACTAGTTGAAATTTGAATTAATAGTCAACCAATTCATATCTTCTAGTATTAATAATGTTACTGTAGTGTCCCTATCATTGCTATAATATTTTATCAAAAATATATTTTTACTGTTTAACTTTTTTGAGAATATTAAGAGTAATATTCCCAATCTTGAACCAAACGAAGCCATGTATTTTGTAAAATTAATTGATTGAATATAATATCTTTAGAGATACACCAATCTAGTTTATAAATTTTATTAATGGAAGATTTATAAATTATTTTGAAAATCTTCTAGTCTTGTTATATTAATTAATTGAATTTGATATGCCCCTCATGTAGGTTGGACTTTTCTATTAAAATACAAAGATAATATTATATTTATAACACAATCTCAGGAATTTGACGTGATAACTTGTAATTGATCAACTCATAGTAGGTGTCACTTGTCCAATTGTGACTCCATCAATTGTAAGCTATCACATCAGGATTGTGAGAGAAAATTTGTAAGATTAGGTGTGAATAACTTTTTATTGTGTAAAAACAATTATAAATTTTTTTAATATTATTTCATAACTTCAAGTTTTAAACAAATCAAATAAATGAATAAAGAACAAAAACTTTTAAATAATAAAATAATAATAATAATTTTTTTTTTTTTTTTTAAAGTTTTGGACTGAGGGGTCCAAATTCGAAAGGCAATTAATAATTAAGTGAGTCAAATAATGATAATAATTGTGGCAAACACAATCTCTATGGCTTCTCTTTTAACATAAACAAAAAGGCCCATCTTGTGGCAACCACAATCTCTTAACACCAAAATATTTTATTTCTAGGAATTGTTCATATAGTAGTACAAGTCTTTGAAATTAAAAGACAATTATTATTATTATTATTATTATTATTTTTTTTTTTTTTTTGTGTGTGTGTGTGAATGTGTGAATGTTATACATATTTTTAAACATTACCATAAACATGTTATTAATATTTGCTTTTGCTTTTATAAAA